CCCTTCACTGTAATATACTTTGTAACAGGTTCTCTTTAAATACTTAAAACATTTTTAAAGAGCAATCGTCAAAGAACTTATGATGAGCTTTCTTATTACACGAGCATCCTGCTGGAGGGAAAATTAGAGAAAAAACGCACAGAGCAAAAACAAAAATAAAAACGTTTTAGCCACCCACAACTAATATTTTAGGTTTTTTTTAGATGCTGCAGACAGATAAAAAGCCAGGAACTGACCACTAGACTCAATCTATAACCTAAATGTTGACTAAAACAACATTTTGAAACTGTACAGGTGTCTCCGATTTGAAGGATGCCTTATCCAGGCTGCATGTTTCACTTCTTTCCATAGATGTTTGATAGGACTCAGATCAGGGTTCATACAAGGTCACTTCAGAAAAGTCCAATGTTTGGCTCTAAGCCATTCTTGGGTACTTTAGCTGTGTGCTTTGAGACATTATCTTGCTGAAGGACCCGTGACCTGTGACTGAGAAAGAGCTTTCTGACACTGGGCAGTACATTTCACTACAGAATTCCTTGATTATCTTGAGATTTTATTGTGCTCTGCATGGATTGAAGGTACCCCATGCCAGACACAAACAGCCACACAACATAATCGAGCCCCCTTCATGTTTCATAATAGGTTGTGGTCTTTTCTTTGCTTAATTTGTTCATCCGTGAACATATCTCTGATTTGACTTGCCAAAAAGCTCCAGTTTTGTCTCAGTTGTTCAAAGCACATTCTCCCAGTAGCATTGTGTCTTGTCAATATGCATGCTAGCAAATTCTAGTCTGGCTTGAGTCTTCCCGAGTCTTCTTCTTTTGAGCCCACTGTCGCTAAAAAAGCTACGAATGGTGAAATCAGACACTGATGTACCGTAACCTTGGAATTCAGCTTTTATCTCTTTGGAAGTTTTCCTTAGCTCTTTGTTTACCATTCCCACTATTCTTCTATTCAATATGGGGTCCATGTTCCTCTTATGGCCACATCCAGGAAAGTTGGCTACACTCCCATGAACCTTACACTTACACTTGTATTCGCCCAAATGCTCCCAGCCTGATACCGGAACTTCCGGTATCAGGAAGCCGAGCATTGAGTAATTACACGCTGCCCGGCTTCCCTATTGGCCAGAAAGCTGGCTTCATGCTCCCTTGTCACCTGGTGTAATGACTCGCCGCCTGGCTTCCTGATTGGTCGGGAAACTGGCCAATCAGGAAGCCAGGCGGTGAGTCATTACCCACCCCCTGGCTTTCTGGTTGGCCAGAAAGCTGGCTCCATGCTCTCTCATCACCTGGTGACGGGGGATCATGAAGACGGCTTCCCTGCTAATCGGGAAGCCGTGTGGCAAGTAATTACACGCTGCCCGGCTTCCTTAATAGGACTTCTGATATCAGTACTCTGTATCGGGGAGTACTGAAGAAAACATATCGATACTCGTACTCGATACAGAAAAACCTGTATCGGTGCATCCCTATTAATAATAGCTGCAACTGTAGTTACAGAAACATCAAGCAGCTTGGAAATGGCCGTTATCTTTGACATGCTGGTCTATAATTCTCTTTCTGTCCCCAGACAATTCTCTCCTTTGCTTTCTCTGGTCCATGTTCAGTGTGGTGAACATGATGATACCAAACAGCAGAGTGACTACTTTTCTCGGTTTAAATAGGCTAACGGACTGATTACAAGATTAAAGATATGTGTGATACTAATTACAGAAAACTGTTAGTCTGAAATATCTCTATGATCCAATTATTTATAATCTTTTCTAGGTGTATCAACATATCTGTTCAGGCCATTTTAGAATATCTTTGTAGAATAGGCAAAAATGTATCTCTGTTCACACTTTCTTTGCTTTACTTTATGACATACCAAAGGCATGCAGGTATGCAAGAGACAATCCTCTGTTAATATCATCAGTGTTCAGTAGGTATGAAGTATTGTTTCAATGAGTTGAAAGGGTACCAGCAAATGTGTCCATGTTTGTAAATGCACATTAACATAGTAAAGAGAGCCTACCACGCACAATAGGCCTGTATGCATGTGTGGTGGTGCTGACATACAGAGCGATGGTCACACTGACACTTAAATGCATACATACACTTGCACTTTTAGTAAGGGCACATGTCACCAGGCATTCCTGTCAAATGCATGTTTTTCCATGCTGCTCAAGCATATGTGCGTATGCAGCTCAACGGGAAGTGCTGCACCAGAAAAAGGAAATTGCGCAGCAGGTCAAATGCAGCCTCTGAACTGAAATGTACACTACTCCAATGAACTCAATCGGAATCTACAGGCCTACATTTGGCATACATTTCAAATACATGTCAAAGTCAGGAAGACAATGCCCATGTACATGAGCCCTAAATCTTTTCTGAGTTCACTTTAATTTTATTATTACAGTACATTGTACCCCAAGGATGCTCTGTCAGAAATGCATCATGGTAATTAAATGTACACATGAGTCAGTAACAATAGTTTTAATAAATGTGACGCCCAATGCAAAATGTACATGGTGGTAGCATCCTACATGGAAGTTCTACATAAGTCGCACAGCCATCTACAGTGTGCATGAACCTTTCATCCCAGCACTGCTGTCGTCATGCAAAAAAGTTGCATGCTAATTCAGGATTACCACTATGGACAATATTTTATTCTGATCACTGTGTGTTGTGTGCAGCTAATACATGTAATGAAAGTGTTCAGTATATGTACTCCCTTTTTAAAAAAAAATTCCCATATCTTTATTGCAATTTTCTCAACGTTTACATTTCAGACAAAGCAACAAAAGTGCCAATGGCACAAGCTGCAGCAAACTGTAACACTACCAAGGAGCTTGTGTAATAAGAGCAAAGATTTAAACCAACAAAAACAAATAACTAAAAAATAAATTAACCCTGTGAATAAAAGGCGACCCCCTAAACCAATGCTATAGTTTGCCCCAACCTGTCACTGTCATTTTTGCTGCAAAGCTTAGTCTGTCTATAACAGGTTTATTTGCTTTGTTCACACCATGTCCAGAGCAGATCTGCAAATGTGGTGCAGTGTGTTTTTGACATGTTCCGGTGCGTTTTTATAAAGCTTAAAATGGGCTTTCAATTGCAGTCCAGTATGTTTGTATGCGTTTTGGTGTGTTCCAGACCAGAAAAAATAGTGCATGCAATATTTTTCCCCCCCCCGCACTAATATGGACTGCACTGGTGTGAACGGAACCCAGAAACACCATAAGAATACATTGGAATGCATTTCAGGTGCGGACAAACACGTTCTGGTCCAGATATGGTGTGAACAAGCCCTGAGGGCCGGTTCACACCATAAACTGAGCAGTCAGCCTCTGGAACGCACTTCAGGGGCGGGAGGGAGTGTGTCGGTGCATTGAAGTCTGTGCCTTCATTGCGGTCCAGTGCGATCTGAAAAAATGTTGCAAACACTATTTTTTCAGATCGCACTGGACCGGAACGCAAGCACTGATCGCACTGTGGGCGGGGGACGTGGCTGCGGTGCCATTAACTTCAATGCACCGCCACTCCCCCTCCCGCCCCTGAACGCAGGAAGCCGGCCGGAATGCAATACAGTGCGTTCAAGCAGCTGACCGCTCTGGAACACACCGTTTATGGTGTGAATTGGCCCTGAAGAGTGAAGAGTTTGGAGAAGACAGGAGAAGTGAACAATATAGGACAACGTAGCTGATATGGAAAAATTCTCCAATTCAGCTCACTTTCCAGTTCAGCTATGTTGTCCTAGATTGTTCACTTCTCCTGCCTTCTCCAAACCCTTCACCCTTTAGTGAATAACCCTGCCAATGTAGAGAAAAATAAAGGAATGTGAAAAAAAATCTTTACAAGTGTTAATGATGTATATTAGGTAAAAGAATACAATAATGTTTTTGTTATGATAGTGGTTCTTTAATATGCAATATTACTAAAGTGTTAAAAAAAAGCACCACCACCAAAAATGACAGCAGACCTTCACTATGGGCAGACCAATGTTGTTATGGCAATGTGTCCTAAAAAGTTTGAGCTGATATTTGATTTTTTATACAGCTGTTCATAAAAAAAAACAATTTAGAGATGGTAATCATGCAATGTAATGTTTCATACAGTATGTAAAAAGCATAAAATAGATTTCCTGCAGAGATAAAGGGGTATGGAGATTATCATGTCCCCTACTTGAAATAAGCAACCCAAAACCAGGCCAGTTAAATAATCAGAGGATGGTGTGTAGTTTGCCACTCAGTTACATTTCTATATATCCAAGATGAGATCATGCTATATACAATATATAGCAACATCCCTTGAAAACACATCTCTTCGGGGAAGCCTATACCACCTCAACATAACTGTCCTTTTACTTCTTCCACTAACTCAATCTAAATAATTATTACCGTTTGTATCACATGCCCCTACTACAAGATTGTAAGCTCTCCTGTATAATAATAATAATAATAATAATAATAATAATAAAATGATTTCTAAAGCACATTGACATTGAATGTACGTAGATCATTGTTACACTGTGTCAGTAAATTTTACCTAGTGATGTCTGTAATTATTTTATAATTATGATACACAAATGACAAGCACACACATATACCTATAAATACATATGTATTAAATGTAGCCAAAGGCTACAGAAGAAAACGAAGGCATTAATTAGCCACAGCACTGCCAAGTAGGCTACCGATAATAGCTAGCACAAGACAAGTACGTCCAAGCTCATCCTTGCTAAAATTGCCTTGCAATGCTGATTGCTGATGGACAGCTGTAATTCCCATAGGCTTGAGCAATAGTCGAAGTCATTAGGTGTCAAAAAAACATTGACCAGCAGCCATTTGGATCTCCTGTGAATTAATGCAACTGGGAACCAAACGTCTTGTTTAGCAAGATTACTGTAATCTGCCTGGGCAATCACAACAGCAAATAATG